GGTACTTATAAGGATGAGTGGTGGTGAGCACGGGCTCACCGTGTGTGCTGAGCTGGCAGGACCTGGGCTCGCTCCTGTAAAATGAATTCATTAGCTTGGTGCAAACCCACTTCCCCCAGCAGTGGGAGCCTGTTCATGCCCAGGCATCCTGCAGCTGACCCTGCTGCCGCAGCAGCATCACACTGCTCCTCTGAGTCCCTGAGCTGGTACCTGTATGTTCACAGCTAGCACCTGGCACTGTGGGGTCCTGCCACAGAGCAGCTGCTTTCATAGCTGTAAATGCACAGCTTTCTCCATGGTTTAACACCCTTAAAAAAAAATAATAAAATCTAAGCAGAGGGAGCTGGGCTACAAGCAGCCCAGTGTGTCTGCCCTGTTTAGATGCTTCTGTTGGGCATCTTCCTGCTTGGCCTCTGACCCTGAGAGCTTTTAAAAGATGTAAAGACTGAATTTCATTTATCTCCAGAGCCGTTTCCTTTTGAGTGTTACTATTATACCTCAAATGGTATGAAGCAAAGGATAGTAAAAGACACTTTGACTTTTCAGTCTGATCCAGTCTGGGGAAGTTGCAGAGATAAAGGAGTTAAGTTAATACTTTCCTTCTCATGCACTAGCCCAGCATCACAAATAGTCACCCTCCTGCACATCCCTCAGTTCATGAGACATGGGGCACACTGGCCTCCTGAAGACATCAGCTCTGTGCATTAGGCCTGGTATTTTGGTATTTGTCAGCTCTGGAGGCTCCTGTTTGAGTCCTGCTGCTGGTTAAGATGGAAATGAGTTTATATGTGGGCACAATCCAGTTGCTGTTGGCCTGGGGCGTCTGCAGCACATTTATTTTGTCGAGGAGGTATGTAATTCCTGACCTCTGTAGGCTGGCCCCCATGCTGGCTTTGTGGAGGAGGTGAAGCTGTTGGCAAAGCTTCAGGATTTCATCTCTGGAGATCTTGAACTCCAGTTCAGAATCTCCCTGCTTGGTTCCCGTGTGCTAGCCCTGAGAGCAATCCTTGGGGAAATGCAACACGGCAAGGCTCAGCCCTTGGAAGCAAGCTAATTTGCATTTAATTGCAGCTTTTCTTTTGGTTGGACATTTTGGAAAATCATAATGGTTTTCAATTCCTACCTTTGCCCCAGCAGATGACAGCAATAGAAACACAGGTGAAGGGTGATACCTATAGATGTTTGGGGTTTGGCTGCTCCCAGGAGACCCCACTGGGCTGCTGAGGCCGGTCACCCATTGGAAATACAGCACTAATGGCAGGGTCCCTCACAGATGCCTGCCCAGAGGTGATATCTAAGGGTATTTCTGAAAGGCTGCATCCTGCGCCTGAGATGTGTTCAAGCACTGCTGGCTGTCTTGATGCTCGCTGCACATGCTGCAGTGGAATTGCTGCAGCCGAGGTGGCCTGCGGGCTGTCAGGGCAGAGACATTCCTCCTGCCCTGCATGCAGACCCACAGCGTTCTCCTGGCTTTAGCCATGGAGGCAACTGCACCAAGATGGGCTCTAGGCTCTCCTGCTCTAGGCCTCTGCAGGGAGCCAGCCCCTCTCTGGGGGCTGCATGAGGCAGCTTGCTGCTCCCTCCACTAGCACCTGGGCTGTGGCTACCACTGGGACCATTGTGTAGTGCTCAGCACTGGTGCCTTGACACAGGTGAATGTCAGGCTCTGCTTCTGTCAGCCCCGGTGAGACCAGAGAGCTCTTGAATCCTGACCTTCAAACCTCATCCCCTTTCACCGCTATTCCCTTTGACTTCTGTTGCTGCCCAGATTTTCCCAACAGCTGTCCTCTGCCTTGCTGGCTTTGGGCCTAGATCAATCTCTCTCCATCTGCAGTGATCCCTCTCACTCCTCAGGGTCCTCCTTGAGTCCCACCTTCCCCACAGCCTCCAGCCCCTGAGCCCAAGGATCTGTGCAACCCCATGCACCTCTGCCTGACGGAGAGAGTTCAGGGCACCTCCAGCTCCGTTGAGCTTTGGTGGTCCTGTTGCCTTGAGGTGAGCACTGTAGGGCTTGGACCTCTTCTCTTTTCATTTGTAAACCCCCCAAGCACAAACAGGGCTTGGTAAATAACAATAGTGTGATGCAGCGGTTAAGACGGAAGAGATCTGACAGCCCCCATTGAATGTGACCTGAATGCACAGCCCCATTCCCTCTCTGTGCTGCATGTAGCAACCCCTTGCTCCTTAGGGCACAAATTACTTACCGCTTCCTATGGAACTGGGGGCATGGTTAACTCACCAGCACGTTCCTACTGCCCAACAAAAAATTATTATGTTCTCTCTCCTTCCCTAGCTAGCAGAGGGCTTAGTCCATGTGCCTGCATGATGGAGGGAGACAGACGCTTTTCATTTTCAGGCCCTCTGCCTATTTCTGAGTCTTAGGTCTTGTCTGACTCTGCAGCAGAACAGGCAAGGTGCAAATGTTGGGATATTTGCAAGTGGAAGTCAGAGCTAATGTCCAAACACCTTTCTTGTAGTAGCTGGAATAGCTGGCCACAAGAGGTAAGCAGGGATTTCCTGGTCCGAATTCCTCCTGACCATGTGTGACTTTGTTTTAAGCAGCCACTCACATTCAGCCTCTCCTGGGTCTCATCTGGAGCCTGAGTGGGAAATTGTGCTCCTAGCAGTATTTTGAGATGTAAAAATCACTAGTGTGGAATGGCTGCGAAGGATGCTCAGTGCACAGTGAACAGGCTAGACAAAATATATCCTTAGGGCTCACCACTGTGTGAGCAAGGCAATGTGATGTGTGATTTGTGGGCTATTAGTAATCCAACAAAGAGACTGCAGTGGGGCTCAGTGGAGGACTCGGGCTGGACCTGCAAAAGCCTCTATAACATTATCATACAGAGCACTTCTCCCTGGGAGAGATCCAAAGCATCATTTGTGGAGTGGAATTTGTGTCATAAATCATGGGTCATGTGGTAGACTACATTCACTTAGGCTACCTCTTCTGCATCCTTCCTGGAAACTCATCTAACAAGAGCTGGCCTTTGGCACATCAAGGTTCAAACATCCATCGTTTGTTAATTGCTGGCAGTAGAAGCACTTCTTTTTTGCCTTGAAATGTGGAATCCCTTCCTAGAATTGCACTGGGGACTAATAAAAGCCAGTGCCAGGTTTAATATATGCTATCTCACAAATTATCTGGATTAAATACAAGGACTGTGTACTGCCAGAGGGGGGATATTCCCAGTTTAACATTGCTTCTGGGCCATGGAGATCCCAAGACATTGGATCTGAAAATTGTGATTCTGTTACGTGCGTGGGAGGGGTTTGGCAGGAGTGCTTGGAAGTGGTCATATTTGCCTGAGCTAGAGAATTAATTGCCATAAAAACTATGGTTTTGTAACCAATAGTTACAGCTGCAGGAAAGATCAGAAAGCATCTGAATAAATCAAATTAACTACCTGCTGCTCCATCTGTATAAGAGCAGAACCTTTCAGGGCAAGATTTAAACCACAATCCAGTTGATCCCTAACTCTCCCACCTACAAAATGAAGAGAGTGAAAAGTCATAGAATCATAGAATGGTTTGGGTTGGAAGGGACCTCAAAGATCATCTAGTTCCAGCCTCCCACCATGGGCAGGGACACCTTCCACTAGACCAGGTTGCTCAAAGCCCCATCCAACCTCCCACTTCCAGGGAGGGAGGGGGCATCCACAACTTTTCTGGGCAACCTGTTCCAGTGCCTCACCACCCTCACAGTAAAGAATTTCTTCCTAATATCGCATCTAAATCTCTCCTCTTTCAGTTTGAAACCATTACCCCTCGTCCTATCACTACACTCCCTGATAAAGAGTCCCTCCCCACCTTCCCTGCAGACCCCCTTTAAGTACTGTCAGGCTGATATAAGGTCTCCCCGGAGCCTTCTCTTCCCCAGGCTGAATAACCCCAGCTCTCTCAGCCTGTCCTCACAGGGGAGCTGCTCCAGCCCCATGATCATCTTCGTGGCCCTCCTCTGGACCTGCTCCAACAGGTCCATGGCTGTCTTGTGCTGGGGGCCCCATCGCTGAACGCTGAACGCTGACCCCAGGTGAGGTCTCACGAGAGAGCAGAGTTGAGGGGCAGAATTTTTGCCGCTTCTCCCTCACGCTCCTGCTCCGAAACAGGCCCCTCCCCAGCTCCCTGGCTTTTTAGAGGCTGCCCGCGAGGGAAGGGGCGGCGCTGCGGGCTCCGCGGGGCATTGCGCCTTCAGGAGGTTGCGGCGCTGGACAGCTCCGGCGCGGCGGGACCCTGCGGGCGGTGTTCGGGGGCCGCGGCCCTCCGGCCGCCGGCGCTGCACCTTCCCCCGTCCCTTCTCCCGGGACAGCCTCCCTCCCTTTAGGGCCTCGTCCCTGCCTTCTCCTGGCTGCGCTTACCACCCACGCGTGTGTCCCTCCTACGGCGCACAACGGGCAAAGGGCAGCCCAGGAGGAGGGGGACCCGAAGAGAAGTTTATAGGGGGAGCCCTGCAAAAGAGGGGGGATGCATGTGGTAGTGTGGGGGATGAGCCGAGGCTGCCGAGCAGAGGGTTTACCCCAGGGGCAATGAGGATGAGGGACCAAATGCTGCTGCCTCTCCCCAGGGCATGGTGGCCTCGTGCTTAGGAGGGACAGCAGCAGCTGCTGGAACTTGCATGAAAGCCTCAGGGCTCGTCTGCTGGCAATACATCCCTCCCCCAGGACTTCATTCCCTACTCCTCCTATTTTCTAATCCATCATTAATGTGGTTTCAAGTAAAATTTGGTGCTGGTGAGATTCTGGCCCGAGGCTGGGAGAGTTTCCAGTCTTTCCTGTCTTCTTCCCAGCAGCCAAGGCCATGGGGTGTTCAGGACACGAGGCCTGAGGAGGGGACCATGCTGTTGGGCACCTGGAGGAGGAACGAGAGCAGAGCCCTTCCTGAAATGCTCTCTTCTGCCTGGATGGTCTGTGATGGCATGAGCAGGGGAGAGGCAGTGCACTGTGAAGGGTTGGGTTCATCGCTCAGCTCTGTGACATCCCACTTTTGTCTCCTCACAGGCCAGCCCTGCTCCCATTATCGTGAACACAGACTCGCTGGAACAAGGGCTCTCTGTAAGTCTCCTGGTTTTGTTTTGCTTCCTTTGAACAAGCAGGCAACAGGAAAGGCTCCTCCAGCCCTAGGAAGCCCTGGCGAGGTGGCAGAGTATCCTGGTACCTGTGCCACATCCTCACAGCACATCCCACCCCCAAGCCTCACTGGGGCTGGGTGACACTGAGCAGAGCCAAGGCTAGCAGCAAGCGATGCTGGGGAGTCCAGCACAGGGAAGGTACAAGGCAGGAGGCACTCAGAGGGGCACACTGTGGGGGCATCAGAGGAGCAGGGGGATCTGGGCTGGCTGCATTCAGGGTTGCCCATGCAGACATTTCCTCAGCCTCCCATGCAGGTGGCTGCGAAGCTTTGCTGGGGCATCCCTTACCTTCCTGCACTGCCTCAGTGCTCTTTGGCAGCCCCAGCCCCTCAGGAGGGAGGCAGGGCTCTCTGGATGCTCACTGGCATCACACCCGCTGGTCCTCAGTGCAGCAGGACCCATCAGATGCTGCTCCTCTCCCAGTGAAGAAAGCCAGCAGCTGAGCAGTGCTTGGTGACTGTGAGTGTTTGCAGCCACAGTGCATTTGGCACTCTTGGCATAGTATAAAGATAATCTTCCTTAGTTTGTTGCAGAGAAGGTTTATGAGCTGC